AAGAGAACTTTGAACACAATCCAGTAAATGTGGGTTTTCTGTACATTGATATGTCAAAGCTGTTTCCAGAGTAGTGAATATACATATCCAAAAAAGGCAACTTTCCATCTTTTTCATACTCAACAGTGAATTTCATATTCGGGTGTTGCGAGTTGAGGTAGCTAAGAAATTCTTGAACATGTTCCTGTGCTTTGAATATGAGAAAAGTATCATCAACAAATCTTCTGTAATACAAAGGTTTGAAAGGTATAGGGCAGTTTGAAAGCCAAATGTGTTCATAATAACATAAGAATGCATTAGCAAGCGTAGGGCCAAGTGGTGATCCCATAGCTACGCCATCTCGCTGTATAAACAACTGGTTATTAAAAATGAAATGGCAATCTTGGACTGACAGTTCAAGCATCCTTCTTAAATTTTCTTTCGAGAAGCCTTGGACTGTTTCAACTGTCTGAAACAAGTTGTTCATGCAAATGTCTATTGTTTCTTTCAGTGGTATATTCGTAAATAATGAAACAATATCAAAACTGACCATACAGCACTTGTCAAAACTAATAGTGGTAATTTCTTTGGCAAAGGTGAATGAATCCTTTACTGTAAAAATATTTGTGGTTAGAGGGGTTAGAAATGGAACAAGGAATTTAGCTAGTTGGTAACTGCATGTTCCTATGGCAGATAATATGGGACGTAGAGGAATTCCGTCCTTATGTACCTTTGGGAGACCGTACATAATTCCAGGTGTTGATCCCTTTGCATACAAATTTCGGTAGGTATCTTGAGTTATTACATCATTTGTTAACAGTTTGGATAGCAGTCTGTTAATTTTACCTTCACATTGTAACATGACTGAGAAAATATCTCTGAACCAGATTGAATTTACTTGTATCAGAGATAAAATCCATCATCTTGTTTACGTAATCCTGTTTGTTCAACAGAACAATGCCATTTCCCTTATCAGGCTTAGTAATTACTACGTCATTTGATTTAGACAAGTTCTTCAGTGCTATGAACTCGTCTTTAGGTAAATTGTTATCAGAGACAGAATTGTGGGAATAGAAAGAATTAAAAGCCAGATATTTAATGTGGGTGTCAACACAATTGGAACCTTTGCAATGTGGATCATAGAACACATCCTTCTTTAGATCATGATGAAGTTTCTCAAAAATTGTGAAATGTTGTAGTAAGTTGAGGCGATCAGGGTAAAATGAAAATTTTAGACCTCGTGACAAACCTCTCTTTTGCACATAGGAGAGGTGTGTATCGGAACAATTGAAAATGACCTTGTCTGCGTCCAGGGTTGTTTCAGGGATGTAACCCAACCGTTTAAGCTTTCGGGACTGTATGAATGATTTCCTTACCATGCAATGGTTATTACGCTTTTCAATCAAACACTTCAGATGATTAAAATCAAAAGATGACACACTACATTTCAATTTTCCAGACAGTTCATTAGATTGGCTTGAGAATGGATTTAAGTTTATAATCCGAAACGTCGCCCAATAAACATGATGGTCCCAACCCTGGTGTTTCTCTTCTTGATACGACTGCGCTTCCCACGCAATGAGCCCATCAGAAATGTCCTGACTCGTCGCTATTTATGCACATACACACACGTACACACACACACATACATATATATATATATACAAATATATACATACATATATGTATATAAGTATTTTAAATATACAAGTCTATATATATATATATATATATATATATATATATATATATATATATATATATATATATATATATATATATATATATATATATAATATATATATATATATAGATGTACATATACATATATATATATACATATATATATATATATATATATTATATATATATATATATATATATATATATATATACAAATATATGCAGACATATATGTATATAAGTATTTTATATATACAAGTATATATATATATATATATATATATTATATATATATATATTTACATATATATATATATATATATATATAATATATATATACATACATAATATATATATATATATATATATATATATATATATATATATATATATATATATATATATTTCATGAACTGACAAACATTTGATTCATAGGTATTCACCTACAGTACATCCAATATACATTATATCTAATATGCAATTATCACTTTAGTCCATGCTGTTATTACTTTCATGATCATCTTTCCTTGTAGTTTTATTTAGATCTGGTTATACTCCACACATTCTTTTGGTGATTACGAAATTAATAACAAAAAAAATATAAAATGGTGCAATTTGTGGAAGGATATTTCAAGCAAAGGGAACAGTCATGGGAATATGTTTTACACTCTTTACATTCTATTACCAAAAGCTTCATTTATGCAATAATCATATTAACATGGTACAATTTCCCGTTTTCAACAGGAAGCAACATGGACATCACAATCCAGGCGAAAGACTGGCTGTCAGGCATCTCGCCTGTGAAGAAGGCAAAGCTGTTTTTCTTCTCCACTCATGCCAATGCTCCTAGTTCTACGAGAAGTCGCCAGGAGGTCGAGGAGATCCAATTTCCGCTGGCCAGTGCTGTCGCCCTTAAAAATCTCAGCAAAGTAGATGAGTCCCTAGAGAAGAAGGCAACGACTTTTTATCATCACAATGCGACCGAAGAAACAATCTCAGAGACAGATTATGAATATCTGAGCTTCTTCTCCGCCTGCAAATATTTGGATGTTGTTCCATCTTTTCTTAGTTTGGAGAAGGTATCTTCTATACAAGATAAATTTGAAATGGAGGGTGAAGAGCGAGACTATCGCCTCCTACTGGATTCTGCCGACCTTGTGCTAGAAAAGGTCTGTAACTCTCTGAAGCCAACAGGAGTGGCTCAGATTTGGACAGCTCTGAGAAGAGATTCCTTTCTAGTAAAAGGTATGAATAACATAGATGTTATTGGCTTCTTCGTCGATCTAAACCCAAAAGGGATGAAAGAGTGCCTATTCTTCTTCATAGTTCGTCATTTGCAAATGCTAAACATCATCAACAGAGTTAGTACAAACAGATTGGAGCGTTTCATAGCACAATGTGAGCAAAACTCTGCTTGCGAAGAGGGGAACACACTTGATTCTATTATAGAGTGCCTGCGTTGCTACCCAGTGGAGTGCTATCCCTTTGGCTTCTGCCTCATACTGTCTGTCCACAAGAACCGGGATGGAGCCAACAAAGAAACTGATAACGTGCTAGCTATCTCCAAGCATCTAGGCATGATATCGCACAAGAATTTGACTCCAACGAAGGACACCATTGAAAGCTTTAAAAATGAGTTGATGAAGCCTAAATACCGGTTCTACAGCTCCTTCACTTGCTGGTTCATGGCTCATGGGGATGAGAAGTCCATGGTGTTAGATGACGGGAATACCATTGAAAGAAAAGAGTTTCTTGAGATGTTCTCCAACATAGAGTCTTTCCAGCTGAAGCCAAAAGTATTCTTCATGGTCTCATGCCTAGGTACCAAGAGGTTCAAACCTGAAGGTAAGGCTTGATGAAGTGACATGGAATTCCTTATACATATATCGATTAACGGGTGTATCATTATGAAGCAATCAGCATAAAAATGATATATAGAAAACATGATTTAGATCAGATCTTTAAAAAATTAGGAACATTTTGATTTAGGAATCTTGTGATTAGACAGTATATACTCATAATAAGATCAACACTTTCAGTGAAAACATTGCACAGGAAACCAAACTTTCAGTAACACCTAACATATTGACATACTTGCAGTTGATCACAACGAGAAAATTGGCGGACAAGGGGATCACTTTTCTATTGGCAGCCATCTGCTCAGGAATAACATGCTTGACATACCCGATGGTGCGCGAAACATTTCTCAAACACAGCCCTTCGTGGACATGCTTGTGGCCTACTCAACAATGCCGGACAACATTTCTGGGCGGAATACCACTCACGGTATGTACTCATCGTCTTCCTTTTTCTTCATTCATTTTTCATGTTTACTTTGGCTAATATGTGTAAGATAATAAGCAAACATCTGAATGTACATTCATGCGTATATACAGGCATGGATTTTAAGGATGTGACTGATTAGACTAATTGTTGGCTGGTTTGAACAATCTAGGGTTCCAGGGATACTTGGCAGGGTGATGGAAAGGGACTTGAGTATATCGTTCGGGAATATTTCCATTTCGTAGATTTTGTCAATGAGATTCCAAAGCAGGTCGTTTCTGAGGCCCTCCAGAGCAGAGAGCATCTCCGTTGGAATCTCATCCGGACCAGATGACTTCCCTTGCTTCATGTTTCAGGGCCTATTCGACTTCACTTTTTAGGATGGGTGCGGATTCCAGGATGATCTCTTGAGACAGTCCATGGATGTACCATTCCCATCTTTCCGCAGCTTTCAGTTCTTTGGAAAGTGGTTTTCCGTTCTTGTGTTTTGATACATCTTTGGATGCTGATGCCAATCGTTAGCAACTACTTATCGGATGTTTTTTAACATTTCTTAGGAGTTGGGATTGAGACTGAGCGTCTCTTTAATTCCGGTAGATATTGGAAGTTTTAGTTTTGCCTCTCCTTGGGAAAGTGGGAGCTAGCAGCTTTATTGGTGGCTGTAGTGAGTTGCTCCCAGTGCTCATCAACATTGTTTGGTAGAGATTGATGGTCTAGTTTCGTAGCAACAGCAACCTTATATTTCTCTTTGACCTCATCAGTACACTGGGTGTTTAATAGGACCCTTGTATGCTTAATTGGTTAATTCTGGAATATTTGTTTGATCATGATGAAGTCAATTTGTTTTTGAGCCCTGTCGCCTGGGCTCTTCCATAGGCATTGCCTCCTGGGGTGAATTTTAAACCATGCGTTGGTTACGACGAGCAAGTCTGTCTCCTCACTCCTTCCTGTCGCCAAGGCCAAAGGGGCCTTCCGTCTTTCCCTGCTGTTCGGATCCTTGCTTGGCGTTCCAGTCACCCATCACTCTTGTCATTTCGGTCAATTTACAATAGTTGTAGACGTCGACGGAGCCGTAGAAATTGTCCATATCCTGGTCTTCTGCATAGACAACAATGATGTTGACGTTGAAAGGACTAGCTTTTAGTTTGACTAGTAAAATTCGTTTCGATTTTGGTCAGGAGAGGACTGCCTTTGAGAACCGAAAGTTGAGGATCACTTTTTGTCTCTGTAGGTCTTCTGACCCAGGTCAACGAACTTCATCCTATCCGTCTCATGGATCATGAGTGTCATCTCAAAATCAAATTGACTTCATCATGATCAACCAGAAATTCCGGAATGCTGTCAGAATTTTCCTGCCCTGAAGATATTGGACACCTCTGAGTGGAAGGGTTTGACTGTTGAACAGCTCTTATCGTTGTAGGTGGTGATGGCTGGGTGGGGTTTGCTCACAGCAATTGGATGACCGCGTTGACCCTGTGAACACAGTCGAACGTTACCGTGCAAGTTCTGGGTCCGCCTGAAGCAGATGTCCACTACTTTCTGTTGTCATCCCATGTGACTGACTGGGCAGAGCGTGCTGGGGCAGGAGGTGCCCCTCATCTTTCCAAAGGAGAACGTTTCGTTTTGAGCTTGAATTCAGCTGGCTGCTCAACCCTTCACCGTATCCAGTCAGTGCCGTCGGTGTTGGTTGAAGTTCTCCAAGACCTTACTCGCCGTTCTCGTAACAAACTATTATATGTACACATGCGTGTATATATATATAATATATATAATATATATATATATATATATATATACACATACATATATAGGTATATACGTATAAATACATACACATATATATATCTATGTATATAAAATACATATACATATACATATATATGTATATATATACATGTATATGTAATATATATATATATATATATATATATATATATATATATATATATATATAATGTATGTATATATATACACATTTACATATATACGTATATATATACATATACATACCTTTTCCACAACATATATATACATGTATATTTATATATACATATATATAATATACATATAATATATGTATATAATATATATTATATATATTATATTATATATATATATATTATATATATATATATATTATATATATATAATATATTATATATATATATATATATATTACGTATATATAATACATATACATTATACATATAATATATATATATATATATATATATATATATATATATATAATTTGATATATAGATATATATTTATATGTATGTATAAATATATATATACATACATACATGTATATATATTTATTTATTTATATGTATATATATTTATGTATATATGTATATATATATATATGCACACACTCACACACACACACACACACACACATATATAAATATATATATATATATAATTATACATATATATAATATAATAATATATATATATATATATATATATATATATATATATATATATATATATATATATATATATATAACGATTTCTAGGACTTCTGCTATATACGCTATTTAAAGGGCATATCTGAAGGAATTATCGTGCATTGTTTTTTTCTTTGAATGTTCAATAATGTATGCTTAGCCTATTCATGCAAAAAAAAAAAAAAAAAAAAAAACGAAGATCCCCCCCCGGCCCGGCGGGGAATGACATTTGCACCCGCGAGTCAAGGATATCATGGAATTGTTCCAGTTTCAAGCTATCGAAGTTTGTAGCAAAGGATGCCGCGGCGTTGTGTAGCAATTCTTTGTTCCCATTCATGTCACCAGCTATTTGAATGGCTAAAAGACCGTGACAGAGCAAGGAAGTGTACACATTTTGTGCATTCCAAGCAGAGCATTTTTCAGCCTGTGCCAATCAGCATACTTTGCCTGAAACACTTCGAGCCCGATTGCTTTGCGAACAGAATGGATTTGCATAACGGTAGGCCATTTCCAATTTATATTTGTCATGATCACAATTGCGCAAAACAAACCCTGAAAGAGCGGTTTTGCTTGGCGGCGTAGCAAACATTCATTGCGTGGGTACGACACAGTGTGCCGAGTGCATTGCAAGTGTGCATGTATTACTACACAGAGGTAAGGTAGGTACACCCCAAAAAGCACAACACAAATAAATACCGATGCCCCTCCACTCGCAAATGGATGTAGGCCTGCGCCACGGCTGCAGAAATTTTGTACCATACAGAAGCAGGATCACATGTTCGACTATAAAAAAATAATTTAGAAAATTACCATTCATTCAGTCTCTTCGGGTCTCGACGCCACTCCATGTCTGGCTGGTTTGGCACAACTTCCACGACATCCATAGCGTCGGGCTCGTGCATGTACGGTTCAACAACCATCAACCCTTGATATTCCTCTCATCCCAACTCTTCGAAGACGTAGGCACCCTCTGAAGAACTTGTACCAATATCCTCGTCGGAATAATCCGATGAAACTTCATTGCCGCTGTAGTCTTGTAGTGAGCGCCATGTACAATGCAGAGAATGCTGTGATCGTGTTCTGGAATTGACGTCACACATCCGGGTTCCGGATTTTCGCGGGAAAATATAACTTGATTTCGGAAAATTGAAATAAATCAATTTTTTGGGAATTATTTTCAGATTTCCCTTTTTACTCTTATTAGAGAGATGGTTTACGAGCTAATTCTCCCTTTTTAAATTTCTCAGTTGTCACTTCACATCAGCCCTTTAAGAATAATCACAATGCATTAACTGTAAACAAAACGAATGATAAGGAAAAAAAAACAGAAGATGAAGCAATGGGAGGCAGGGTGTACCGTTCTGACAGCATGGCTAATTTCAGGCCCTATCACAATAGCACTTTTTCCGTCACTTTTTTGCGTTTCCGAATGAACTCCATATGAAAATCATGTAAACAAACATGGCGCTATCGAAGTGAGGTCCCGGGAATCACACGAACATTCTCATACATATTACGTTATTTTAAAGAAATATGATGATGTATATTGTATATACGAATGTTCGAAAATATAGCTTATGTTTACATTCACTCATCCTCTCTAATTTATTAATAGCACAAGATCAACACGGAAATTAGTCAGACGGAGACGGTCGTAACCGCCTTGGTTTGTAGACGATCCTTGCGGAAAGCCTCACATTCAGACGGAACCCAAGAAATTGACGGAAAAAGTGATTGTGTGATAGGGCCTTTAGACAGAATACGTGTCTGCAGACAAGATTTATTACAGTGGAAGCAGTGCATGCATGTGCTTATGTATATGCGTATAGATGCTGACTGCAACGAGTATTGTGGCACGTCAGGCTACTCATAAGAGTGTGAGCATATACAAATCTCGTAGACCAGTGACCGGTGAGAATGGCCCCGTCACCAGCTGCGATAGCTCTAAGTAGCTGAAATGGGTGGTCTCATATATGTGTGTGTGTGTGTGTGTGTGTGTGTGTGTGTGTGTGTGTGTGTGTGTGTGTGTGTGTGTGTGTGTGTGTGTGTGTGTGTGCGCGCGCGTTATTCATGCATACACACACAAACATAGGAGCTTTGGCTTACACTGGCAGCAACTTCCTACCTTCCTGCTTTCCCTTACATCACCAGGTATATACATCCACATGTATATACATACTCTCTCGTACATACATTTTCACGTTTTCTTTCGCATTTCTCACCCACAGGATCTATCTATGTGGACCGTGCGTGCCTGCTGATGAGTGAAAACATCAGCAAAGGGAAAAGCTTCACAGAGATACTGGAGCATCTGGGCCAAGAACTGCATGAAATTCTTCAAGCGGAAGACGAAGAGGGTGGGGTGTACAAGCACGGGTGTCACTTTACTTCCTATTTCCGGAAGACCCTTAAACTGCCTGTTACACGATATAGCAATTAAGACCTACCTCCCCCACCACCAGCCCCACCCCCCAAGCACACACGCACACACAATTAGTATTTATGCACGAGTCAGTCAGACCCTCCCCTCCCTCCTCAAGTTTCGACACCTATTCCACGCCGAGTAGACCTAATCTTGACCTAGTGTTATTGTTTCACTGGTGAATCCTGAGCTAATCATCTAATTTAAGCAAATAAAAGTGAATCTTGAACGAATACTTTGGTTCTGAGAGTGAGTAGGCATCGAATATTGGTCATAATCCCTAATCAAGAGATAAACACCCCATACAAGAATTTTCCCATGAGAAAGTCCTACACACCACCGCCGGACGATCAAGTTGGTAGCAGCCTAGCCATGCTGTCCAGCACACGGATTGCGGTGTTTTAATGAACCGATGTCATGGTTACAAGTTGTATTTGGACTTTGTAAGTCACTCAACTCTTTCTGAAATTGTGTTGGTTTCGGTCATGATACTTCTGGCTTACACAAATTCGCCCTAGCCTGTTGTGCTGTGGTTTTGAAAAAGAAAAAAAAATCTCTTCATTGTAGTCAATTTCTCATATAAAGTGGTGAATCTTTGCCCAACGTATTCCCAACATGTAGGAATCTAAAGTGGATCTTAAGAGTACATGAAACAATGTGAATGGAGGTGAATGTTTGAGGAGGGGATGTTGGAGGTTCCGACCGACGGGTGCATTAGTCTAAAGGCCCTAGCACACTATCACTTTTTTCTGTCAATTTTTGCATTATCGTATGAAATTTTCGTATGGAAAGGGACTGACCCTACCACACTACCAAGACAGCATACACTGCCAATGTAAACAAACATATCGCCATTGGAGTGAGGTCCCGGGAATCACACGAGCATTCTCATACATATCACGTTATCTTGAGGAAATATGATCATGTATATTGTTTCTATGAATGTTATAAAATATTAGCTTATGCGGAAATGGTCGCAACCATCTTGTGAAAAGCCTCATATTCAGACGGAAACGCAAAGGCTGACGGAAAAAATGCTAGTGTGACAGGGCCTTAAGTAGCATAAGCATTTATAGATTAAACTGCTTAAATCTCTTAATCTTACACGGCGTATTTTACTTAAGATCTCCATATGATTAATTGTATTTAATTCCCAAAAGTATATACACATCTTGTT